ATACCATTTGAGGATCGACCAATTAGCACAGTGGATCCACTGGAACAACGTGAGTGAGATATGGCAGAAAGAGGATTAATAATAACTTATCTACAGGCCCTGAGGGCATTCCAATTAGGCCAATAAAAAACTAGTATCAAACTCTAAGCAAACATTAGGAGAGGCAGTGAGCATAAGAACAATGAATGGTGAAGCACCCAGTGAGTGTGAACTAAGCAGGATGAGCATGATCTATAAAGGAAACAGGGACAAAGCTGATATAAAGAACTACCGTCCTATAACAGTGGCATCAGGTGTTTAGAGGCTGGTGATGCAGATAGTAAAAGAAAGACTACAGACATGGGTGCAGAGTGAGGGGGTGCTGGGATAACTACACAATGGGTTCCGTAAAGAAGGAGGTTGGAGCCAACTCTGTTTTCATTGATGCAGTGCGTTGAAATTGCGGAAAAAGAATACAGGTCCTTGTGGTTGGCATTTATGGATATCAAAGAAGCTTACGATAGTGTGATTGAAGAAGACTTGTGGGGATTACTGGACAAACTATATGTGGAAGATGGAGTAGCTAATCTTCTAAAGGATATCTCTAAAAGTAACAAGAAAGTTATAAAATGGGAAGAACAGGTATCAAACCTATGCAGATAGAACGCCGGCTTCGACCGGGATGTCCTTTGTCACCTTTGTTATTTAGGCTGTGTCTACAGGGACTAGAAGCCTAATTAGAGGAGACTCGACTTCAGCCTCTTTTGCCAAGCAATCATACCCCATTAATCAGTCATTATTCGCATTGATGTATGCAGATGATATAGTAATAATAGCCGAGAACAAGCAAAATCTGCAGGGATTGACAGACATATGTGGTAATGGGGGAGATAGGTAAAGTTGATGTTCAGCAAGGTAAAATCGGCAATCATGATTTTTTATGATAACGAAGGCAGTGACCGTGGGATAAAAATAGTGGATAAATAGAAATATTTGGGCGCATGGATAAATAATGTGGCTGAGGACCTAAAAGAGCACGAAAGACACGTAATAACTAAGGGTAACAGGAATGCAGCTGTAATGAAAAATGGGGCTTGTAGAACTTCATTAGGTATAACGTTGTAAGAGGGATTTGAAAATGTATCATGCTGCCAGGTTTGACGTTCGGTATTGTGGTCTTGTGCATGAGATCAGAGGTTCAAGCAAGATTGGAAATAAACAACCTGGTATTGGTATATTTGCTTTGGGAGGACGTGGGAACATCCCAAACCAGGGGGCAGAAGGTGACATGGGATGGACATCTTTAGAGTGCAGGGAAGGCAGCTGCAAGATAAAATTTGAGGAGCGATTGAGAAAAATGGGAGAGGAGTGTTCAGCTAGGAAAACTTTCAGCTACTTGTACATAAAGAATGTCGATAATAAGTGAAGGAAGCAAACCCTAAAATTGTAAAGCAAGTATTTAGACAACAGCAGAATACCAGGCCTAAAGGAAACATTGGTTAGGAAGAAGGTGAAGGAAACAGAGAGGGACAGGTGAAAGATTGGAATGCTTACGAAATTATCACTGGAGCCTTACCAAGCGTTCAAGTAGGAAATAGCAAAAGAAAAGATCTACGATGATTCTCGCGGTAGTTCTCTGCTGTTCGAGGCCAGAACGGGAGTCTTGTGGACCAAGACGTACCGAGCCAAATACGAAGGCACAGGCACGTTATGTAGTGCGTGTGAATAGGAAGAGGAAACGGCTGAACATTTGATAATGATCTGTGAAGTGTTCCACCCTATAGTTTAAGATAATGGCGTGGAATTATTCAAAGCATTTGGATTTAGGAAGAGCTAAAGCAGAAAATAGGCTTTAAATTGTTAGAAATAACCAAGACAACGCTAGCCATTTGTTGCTACAATCAAGGCACGAGGGAAATGCAATCCTTTAACACATATTGATACACTTAACTTTATAGCTACGTGGCGTGAGCCGCCACCCGATCTAAAGGGCACAGCCGGATACATTCATGCATCCATCCACTTCTATGCGAGCTGTCGCGTGACAAGAGACCGCGGATGCTCTTGGTTTAAAGTGCGTTCGCTCTTGGCCCACTTCCTTTTTCGCCGGCAGTCTGTGTGCTTCAAGTATGAGCGACGAGGACAAGGTGGTGGAGCTGAGGACTCAGAAAACAGCTGCAACGTGTGGTTACCGTCTTTACATGATGATTAATTGCGGAAGGTTTACGGGGGACTGAAGGTTTACTAATGCAGTTCCGGAGCTTCGCCCACTCATCTCCATTCACTATGTGGGTATGCTGTGATTTTTTTATTATTCACATCGATAATCTGGGGTATTGAGCAATGTTTTTCGTGATGGTGGCACTTTCCACCATGGCAAGAAGGTGTCGTCTGCTGCAAATATAGAGACCAAAGTGAGAACCCACACTTTTGTCTACCTTAACGTACTGCATCGAAAGGTATGGCATACTTAAGGCACCGCCACGGTGGTCTAGTTGCTAAGGTACTCGACTGCTGACCCGAAGGTCGCAGGATTGAATGCAGGCTGCAGTGGCTGCTATTTAGATGGACGCGGAAATGCTGTAGGCCGGTGCGCTCAGATTTGGGTGCAGGTTAAAGAGTCACAGGTGGCCGACATTTCTGGAGCCCTGAACAATGGCGTCTCCCATAATATTGTGGTTTTGGGACGTTAAACCCCACATATCAATGAATCAAGGCGCAGTTATGCTTACGATACGTTGGATATAACTGCGCCGCAGCTAGAAATCTGGTGCTACCACATAAACATATATAAAAGGTACGGGGTGACTTTCACATTGCCCTGGTGCGCATTTGTCTTGGCACTCGCGTTTTGAGCTGACAATACTTCGGAGTAATCAAATGGGCAAATAGGTCGAAAACGCAAGGAGTGTTTGGTACAATGAAGAAAACGCATGTGGTGTGTGTTTCGCCTGGGGCAAGATAACTTGCACGAATTCGAGATACTGCACGCCTCGAAAGTTTTTGTTTGGGTACAATCAAGAACGATTTCCCCGCACACGTTTATTTCAAGCTGTTGTAAGAGATCCGCTGTGGTGGCCTAGTGGCTAAGGTACTCGGCTGCTGACTCGCAGGTTGCAGGATCAAATTCCTGTAGCGACGGCTGCGTTTTAGGTGGAGGTAAAAATGCTGTAGGCACGTGTGCTCATACTTGGGTGCACGTTACAGAATCCCAGCTGGTCGAAATTCCGGGAGCTTTCCACTACGACGTCTCTCATAATCATGTGGTAGTTTTGGGACGTTAAACCACACACATCAATCAATAAGTCAATAAATCAAGCTGTTGTAAGAAGTTTGCAAACGTGATAACGCGCTGTTCCAGTTGTGGCTGTATGGCATTTTATCTGGGATACTGGAACTTAGATACGAATGCTCGTGAGTGTGCAGGCGCGTATAATAAGGCGTATTTATAGCTTTACATATTGAGAACCTAGAGTAATTCTCGCAATGTCATTTTTATAAAAAAATTGCATTTGTTTTTAATGGCAAGCGTTAGATGGTCATGCCCTTTGGAACATTTGTATTCATACGATACAATGGTTGAGGTGACACGTTCTTTAATTTTGTTTCAGCTGAAGCAAGCCGGTGGCGCTTGGCGTGGCAACAGGCCGTCTGTAGTTTAGTGGGGCTACAACGCAAGAGTTGGCTGCCTTCAATATATTTCACTGTGTGATTTTTAGCGACGAAGCTGCTCTTAGTCTAAGCGTGCCCTGCAACAGGCGTTACCGGCAGTATCAGACAGACAGACAGACAGACAGACAGACAGACAGACAGACAGACAGACAGACAGACAGACAGACAGACAGACAGACAGACAGACAGACAGACAGACGGACAGACAGACAGACAGACAGACAGACAGACAGACAGACAGACAGACAGACAGACAGACAGACAGACAGGCATGTTTCGCCCCACTCATCATCATTCACTCCGTGCATAAGCTGGGATTTTTCGTGCTTTATTTCTGGCTATTTAAAGGAATCGTGCCTTAGGCCAGATGCAATGACGGCGCGTGAATAATTTTCGCCATCCAGTTTATGCTGATGATAACAAAGCCATTTCTCACCTTGGTCATTAATAAGTGTGAACTACAGGCCGGATGTTGCGATAAAAAAAGGAAAAGAAAAGACGTGCGACACACCTAAATCTGCGCGTGCGTGGAACCAAAACCAAATCTTGCAAACTTGGTGTCCCAATGCATTTCAGCAGACGGAGAAGCGCTTTTTTTATGCCTTTGCTCTCTCATTCAGTCGCATGGCTCTATAGAAGTGTTTGCTCTTTACTCAGTTTCCCATTCTCTATGCTTTGTGTTTAATGTACCATTGCGACAAATAGCTTCTCCAGGCGCCACAGGGTGAGAAGCAGCCCCTGTAATCGTGTCAAAAACTTCAGGGCAGTGTAGTACTGCCAGCGTGTGGAACTATTGCGCAAATTATGCTCGCTAATACAGACTTTTGAGTAATATTGTTCTAAGAATTACAACTTTGATATGTAAAAAATATCGTGCTTCTAAAGTTGCTACATCTTAGGTTCTTGTAACGTGGGAATACGCTGAATAAAGTGTCAAATGATGGAGTAACGTCAGTAGTAACGTCCATTACTTTTTTCGGTAATCATGATGTTAACATGGTAGCTTTTTTATGGGTAACGGAGGGTGGTAACGCGTTCTTTTTTCTGGCGTGAAACGAGTATCGTAGTTAGCGGTGACGAATACAACAATGACGATAACTGGCCGTCTGCGATGTTGGGACACAATTTATAACCCACATGCTTACGTCACAGAAAGCAAGCTTTCTATGCTGATATTATCACGGTTGATTGAGAAGGGACCATTGTTGCCAGGAAGTGTTTCATAAAGCGTTGTGGAAAAGCCAGAGCCTAGCTTGTGTATTAATATGAAGTAGCATAAAAATGTTTGCAGATGTTCGAAGTCTGGAGTTCACACAAGTTTTTAGAAAAACAAAACAAGATAATCTTACCGCGTTCATCATCACTGCCAAATATGCGATCAACTTGGAGTTCTCCTTGAAGTATTGCTGGTGCGCCTTGTCAGAAACGATGTGAACCTCTACGGGAAATCTGTGAAATCCTGAGGATCGTGGTTGCGGAGCTGGAAAGGATGACAGTGATTTATTTGTTTTTGCCGCCTTCTGCTTCGCACATAAGAGATCTTGCTGAATTTACGCCAACAAACACTTCCCTAGCTTGATGAAAAACTCTGTACAAGGAGGTTGGTGGCCGAGCCACAACCCCTGTTTGCGTTTTTTTAATGCGAAGCATTTCTTAGCGAGCATCGGCGACTTTGAGCTAATCTATCTATCTATCTATCTATCTATCTATCTATCTATCTATCTATCTATCTATCTATCTATCTATCTATCTATCTATCTATCTATCTATCTATCGATCTATCTATCTATCTATCTATCTATCTATCTATCTATCTATCTATCTATCTATCTATCTATCTATCTAGCCACCGACGACTTTTAGCTCTCCTGGCCGTTTAGATAATCGTATCGATACCAAACTTGGTAACACATAACATGACTGTATGAAGAACTAGTCATAACATGAAAATCTTGACATGTGTGTCATTAATGTCACAATTTACATCTCATGGTCCTACAGCACATGGCATGTTGCAGAACTGGTATGGTATCGCATAAATGCATGGCGAACACAAGCGAAAGACCCTAACATGAAAATCATGACATCGTGTCTGTAACAACATGACTAACATGCCGCGCCCATGATGGTCTCGTGGCCGTTTCACTAGCGTCACATATACCGAATTCACTATTCATCATCATCATCATCATCATGATCATCATCATCAGCCTGACTATATCCACTGCAGGACAAAGGCCTCTACCATGTTCCGCCAGTTAACCCGGTCCTGTGCTTGTTGCGGCCAGTTTATACCCGTAAACTTGTTAATCTCATCTGCCCACCTAACCTTCTGTCTTCGCCTAACTCGTTTGCCTTCTCTGGGAATCAAGTTAGTTACCCTTAATTACCAGCGGTATCCTGTCTACGCGCTACATGCCCAGCCCATGTCCGTTTTCTTTTCTTGATTTCAACTATGATATTCTTAACCACCGTTTGTTCCCTAATCCACTCTGCTCTCTTCTTGTGTCTTAAGGTTCCACCTACCATTTTTCTTTCCATTGCTCGCTGCGTCGTCCTCAATTGAAGCTGAACCCCCTTTGGACGTTTGCAGGTTTCTGCTTCGTAGCTAAGTACCGGCAAGATACAGCTGTTATATAACTTCCTCTTAAGGGATAGTGGCAATCTACCTATCATAATTTGAGAGTGCTTGCCAAATGTGCTCCACCCCATTTTTATTCTTCCAGTTACTTCAATCTAGTGGTTCGGCTCCACAGTTATTACCTGCCCTAAGTAGACATAGTCTTTTACAACTTGAAGTGCACAATCACCTATCTCGAAGCGCTGCTTTCTTCCGCAGTTGTTGTACATTACTCTCGTTTTCGGCAGATTAATTTTAAGACCCACCTTTCAGCTCTGCTTGTCTAACTCCATAATCATGAATTGCGATTTGTCCCTTGAGTTACTCAGCAACGCAAAGGCAAAGCGCAGGTTACTAAGGTACTCTACATTAACTCTAATTCCTAACTGTTCCTATTCTACACATCTGAAAACCTCCGGTGTGCATGCGGTAAATAGCATTGGGGAGATTGTGTCCCCCTGCCTTACACCCTTCTTGATTGGTATTCTGTTGCTTTCTCTATGAAGCACTATGGTAGCAGTTGATCCTCTGTAGACTTTTTCCAGGTTGTTTATATATACTTCATTGACGCCCGATTCCTCAGTGTCTGCATGATGGCTGATATTTCTACTGAACCAACGCCTTCTCGTAATCTATGAAGGATATGTATAGTGGTCGGTTATATACTGAGCATTTCTCTATTACCTGATTAATAATATGAATGTGGTCGATTGTTGAGTAGCTTGTTTGAAATCCTGCTTGTTCCTTTGGTTGATTGAATTTTAATGTTTTCTTTACTCGGTTAGCAATTACCTTTGTAAATAGCTTGTGTACTACTGAGAGCAAGCTGATCGGCCTGTAATTCTTAAAGTCCTTGTAATCTCTATTCTTATGTATTAAGATGATGTTAGCATTCTTCCAAGACTCTGGTACTCTTCCCGTCAGGAGACACTTCGTAAACAGGGTGGCTAGTTTTTCCAACACAATCTGTCCTCCATCTTTCAGCAGATCTGATGTTACCTTATCCTCACCAGCAGATTTGCCTTTCTGCATGCTTTCCAAAGCTTTTCTAACTTCTTCTATCATTACTGGTGGGGTGTAATCTGGGTTACTGCTAGTTCTTATAGTATTAAGTCCGTGGTTTTCCTGGCTACTGCACAAATCTCTGTAAAACTCTTCCACTATTTTAACTATCCTCTCCATATTGGTAGCTATTTGGCTTCTTTATCTCTTTGTGCATACATCCGATTTTCGCCTATCCCAAGTTTCTTGTTTACTGCTGTGACGCTTCCCCCGTTTTTAAGAGCGTGTTCAATTCTCTCCATGTTATATCTTCTTACATCGCATACCTTACGCCTATTAATCAACTTCTAAAGCTCTGCCAGTTCTATTTTGTCTGTTGTACTTGTGACTTTCATATTATGACGCTTCTTAATGAGATTCCTCGTTTCCTGAGAAAGCTTGCCAGTGTCGTGTCTAATTATCCTGCCTCCAACTTCCACTGCACACTCTGTAATGATACTCGTCAGATTATCATTCATTGTATCTACAAAAAGGTTTATTTCCCCAGTAAGAGCCGATTCCTGTTCTGAAGCGAGACTCTGAATTCCTGTACTTTCCTTCTCAGTGTTAGCTCATTGATTGGCTTTTTGCGTATCAGTTTCTGTCGTTGCTTCTTCAAGTCTAGGCAAATTCGAGACCGTACCATTCTATGGTCACTGCATCGTACCTTGCCAACCACTTCCACATCCTGCATGGTGCCTGGGTGTGCACTCATTATAAAGTCTATTTCGTTCTTATTTTCGCCATTAGGGCTCCTCCATGTCCAGTTGCGGTTTCCTCGTTTTCGGTAGAAGGTATTCAAAATCCGTAAGTTATTGCGTTCTGCGAATTTTACTAGTAGCTTTCCTCTGGGGTTCGTAGTACCGATACCATCATCTCCTACTGCCTGATCTCCAGCCTGCTTTTTGCCTACGTTTGCATTAAAGTCTTCCATCAGTGTAGTAAACTGCGTTTTTATCTTACTCATTGCCCAGTCCACGTGTTCATAGCTTTCAACTGAAGCGTCATCATAGCTGGATGTAGGCGGGTAAGTCTGTAATCTTGTATCTCTTATTCAGTATAATTACTATACCTACCACCCTTTCAATGTTGCTATAGTATTCCTCCGTGTTGCCAGCTATGTTTCTGTGAAGTAGGAACCCCACTCCCAGTTCTCTTGCCACGCCGCGGTGGTCTAGTGGCAAAGGTACTCGGCTGCTGACCCGCAGGTCGCGGCTTCTAATCCCGGCTGCGGCGGCTGCATTTCCGATGGAGGCGGAAATATTGTAGGTCCGTGTGCTCAGATTTTGGTCTACGTTAAGGAACCCTAGGTGGTCAAAATTTCCAGAGCCCTCTACTACGGCGTATCTCATAATTATAAGGGGGTTTTGGGACGTTAAACCACTCATATCAATCAATGAATCTCACTTCTCTTCTGTCAGCTAAGCCCCGATAGCAAAGGACGTGCTCATTCTTTGTCTCCGTATATGCTTCATCTGTCCTTCTAACCTCACTGAGGCCTAATATATCCAATTTAACACCCATTAGCTCCTCGAATAGTACAGTTAGACTTCCCTCACTAGGTAAGGTTTTAGCGTTAAACGTTGCCAAGTTCAGGTTCCAATCGTGGCCTATCCGGATCCAGAGATTCTTAGCACCCTCTGCTACGTTGCAGATCTAACCGCCGCCGTGGTCAGTTGTTTCGCAGCTGCTGGGGGCTGAGGGCTGTGACTTAATTGGCATATGTGGGAGATATTACAGTACGTGAATGGATGACGAAGGTATGTGACTGGCGCGAACATGATAATCATGACATGCGTGCCATGTAATAACATTATATACCACGCTTATGATGCGCTGGGGGCTGTTTCGCTGGCTTCACTTATGGGACGTGGATGCTAGACAAAGGTATGGTACTGATGAAAACGTGATAAACATGAGATTACGTGTCATGTAACAATATGACTACATGTTACGCTCATGATGCGCTTACGGTCACTTCGCTAGCTTCACATGTACCAAACTAAGTATTACGCGACGTGAATGGAGGACATAGGTAAATGACATATACAAACATAAAAATCATGACATACGTGTCATGTAACAACATGACTAATGACACGCTCATGAGGCGCTCGCCGCCGCTTCGCTAGCGTCAAATATACCAAATTTTGTATTAGAGTACGTGAATGGATGACGAAGGTATATGACCGGTGCAAACATGATAATCATGAGATGCGTGTCATGTAATAACATGACTTCATGCTACAGTCAAGGCGCCAATACCATTCGACGTGACGCGCTGCGCGTTCTCGCCGGCGTTCAATTCGTCGCGTCACGCCTGCGTTGTCACGCCAGGCGCCAGTCGTGCCATTTACTCGCCGGCGTGCGCAGCGCTGCGTTGCTTTAACGCATGCGCGTTTCAGTGCGTCCGGCGTCGCTCCGTCGCGAAAAGAGGGAGGCGCAGTGTTGTCGGGTAACGCGCCAGCGCGAAATGCAGCATGTCGAATTTGGTGCCGATGGACGCTGGTCGCACCTGGCGTTAGATTATAGAGTGTTCGCGTTTTCCTAATGTAGCGTCTCTGTGCCCAGCGTGCGCGCGCGTCAACGCTACATTGAAGTATATTGGGACCTTCATGATGCGCTCACGGCCGTTTTGCTAGCTCCACATATAGCAAATCTGGTGTTGCGTGACGTAAATAAATGACGAAAGATATGACTGGTGCAAACATGGTAATCCTGACACGCGTGTCATGTAAGAATATGACAACATGCCACGCTAATAGCTTGCTCACGGCCGTTTCGCTAGCTCCACAGAGACTAAGTTTGGTACCATGTGA